TGCAGTACTAAGTATCTGTTCTCCTGGAGACTTGGCAGTAAACACAACCTGCCTGTCAAAAAGATTTAATTCAGTCATGTATATTATAGGAATAAATTCAAGCATTCACTCTGGGAGCTATAACTTCAGAAAGAATACTTGTTATTTCAAGTTTTAATATATATACATATGCAATATATATATATATTACATATATATTACATGTATATATACATATATACGATAATGAAAAGTGAGCATTCTGAAGTAATTGATCAGGTTGCCTTAATTTTCTATAGATTCAAACTCAGAAATAAAATAATGCCCTGCTACATATGGCTTCCAACCATCAGTCCTGTCATTTCCCATGTGTGGACTTGATTGAAATGACACGTAGTCCATTTACCTGTAAAATAAGATTTGGCCTTTATAAATGCAGCTGATTTCAATATAAACCATCCTTTGCTTGACTTGTAGCAGTCACATTAGTTATATAAAAAGTGTTCAAAGTGTGGGCTCAGAATACTAAATTATACTTTAAGCATAATTTGGCATAGAGTTGACTGTGCCACTAAGTGAATTCCTAGTTAACTGCATTGTGGCGAAGTGCCACCTGCCTAGGTGATTGAAAATTGACTGTATTTTCATTAGTCTGGAATTTCCCTTGGCCTAACTCTTTTCTCCCAATCATCTCTGGCAACCTAACCTTTCCTTGCCAAGATCTATTTGTTTAGTTGGAAAATTTCAGAAACAATATTGTGTGGGACCCCTATACATCTAGATCAGCAGTTCTCAACCTGTGGGTCACAACCCCTTTGGGAGTTGAAGGACCCTTTCACAGGGGTCGCCTAAATACATCCTGCATATCAGATATTTACATTAAGATTCACAACAGTAGCAAAATTACAGTTACGAAGTAGCAACGAAAATAATTTTATGTTTGGGGGTCACCACAACATAAGGAACTGTATTAAAGGGTCGCAACATTAGGAATGTTGAGAACCGCTGATCTAGATGGTAGAGAAGTAGTGATATTACATAAGAAAGCATATTCAAGATCTTTCTATTCACTCAAATTAAATGGAATGAATAATTGTGACAACTTCCA